GATCTCGGCTCACCGCAACCTCCGCCTCCTGGGTTCAGGCAATTCTCCTGCCTCAGCCTCCTGAGTAGCTGGGATTACAGGCACGCGCCACCATGCCCAGCTAATTTTTTGTACTTTTAGTAGAGACGGGGTTTCACCATGTTGACCAGGATGGTCCTGATCTCTTGACCTCATGATCCACCCGCCTTGGCCTCCCAAAGTGCTGGGATTACAGGCTTGAGCCACCGCGCCCGGCCAATTTTTTGTATTTTTTTATATAGATGGGGTCTCACCATGTTGCCCAGACTGGTCTTTAACTCCTGGGTTCAAGGAAGTCTCCCGCCTTGGCCTCCCAAAGTGCTGGGATTACGGATATGAGCCATCACACCCGGCCTCAACTTTTATTTTACGTTCAGGGGGCATATGCAGGTTTGTTACATGGATATACGGTTTAAGGTACAGTTGAGCCTGTCACCCAGGTAGTGAGCACATTACCTAAAAGGTAGTTTTTCAGCCCTCGCTCCCCTCACTCCCCTCCCTTCCTCTCTCTTCTGTTGTCTTCAGTGTCTATTGTTCCATCTTCTTTTTTTTTGAGATGGAGTCTCGCTCTGTTGCCCAGGCTGGAGTGCAATGGTGTGCTCTCGGCTCACCGCAACCTCTGCCTCCCGGGTTCAAGCAATTCTCCTGCCTAAGCCTCCTAAGTAGTTGGTATTACAGGTGCACGCCACTACGCCCGGCTAATTTTTGTATTTTTAAGTAGAGACAGGGTTTCACCATGTTGGTCAGGCTGGTTCTGAACCACTGATCCCGTGATCCGCCCGCCTCAGCCTCCCAATGTGCTGGGATTGCAGGCGTGAGCCACTGCGCCCGGCTTATTGTTCCATCTTTATGTCCATGTGTACTCAATGCTTAGCTTCCATTTTTAAATGAGAACATGTGGTATTTGGTTTTCTGTTCCTGCCTTAATTTGCTTAGAATAATGGCCTCCAGCTGCATTTGTATTGCTGGAAAGGACATGATTTTGTTTATTTTGTGGCTTCATAGTATTCCATAGTGTGTATAAAGTACATCATCTTTATCCACTCCATCACTGACGTGCATCTAGGTTGATTCCATGTCTTTGCTATTGTGAATAGTGCTGTGATGAACGTACAAATGCAGGTGTCTTTTTGGAAAAACAATATATTTTCCTTTGGGTATATACCCAGTAATAGGATTGCTGAGTTGAATGGTACTTCTAAGTTTTTGAGAAATCTCCAAGCTGCTTTCCACAGTGGCTGAACTGATTTACATGCCCTCCAACAGGGTATAAACTTCCCTTTTCTCTGCCTCCTCACCAGCATGTGTTTTTGTTGTTGTTTTCAAATAACATTTATTGAGCACTCATGGTGTCAAATGCATTATCTGCATTAACTCATTTGAATCCCCATAACAAACCCTATGAAGCCCCACTTCCCATTCAAGGAGACTAAGGCAGAGAGATCAAATAACTTCCATAAGGTCCCAAGGATAGTAAGTGGCAGATGCAAAAGCTAAATCCAGTAGTCTGAGTTAGAAGTTCACAAGCTCAACTTGGCTACAACCTGTCTCCACTCTTCATTCACTACCTGACCTTGATGGAGTCAGTGAACCTTTCTGCAAAATGGAAACCACTTGGCCGGGCGCGGTGGCTCACGCCTGTAATCCCAGCACTTTGGGAGGCCGAGGCGGGTGGATCACGAGGTCAAGAGATCAAGACCATCCTGGTCAACATGGGAAACCCCGTCTCTACT